ATGATGAAGATGAGGATGATGATGAGGATGAGGATGATGAGGATGATGATGATGATGAGGGTGATGGTGATGGTGATGGTGATGGTGATGGTGATGGTGATGGTGAGCATGGGGAGAATGACTAAGACAAAGATGGGTTGGATGATAAATGTCGAGATCGCAATTATTGACAAATCTCTGTTTGTAGGAGGCACCGTCGACCATTCAGACGTTCACGAGGGTACAGTAGCGCACAACAAGCACAAGCACGCGACACAGCTGCGAGAGTGAGGAGACGAGTCTCTTGCGGTGTGCAGGTAACGATGGTGTAAGGTGGAGGAATCAGTTCTCGGAGGAAGAAGTCACAAGGCTGAGACATGGTAAGAGACCTCGTGGCATGTTGCTTGATCGCTGACCCTCCACAGAGAGGATGCATCGCGTTCTCACCAACGCGAGATCGGTATTGCACCTCCGCTCACTGCGAGCTTCGTCTCTCCTTGTTCCTCCTTCCCCACAGCTGTCTACCGACCTGCTACCTCTTCCTCTACCGCTGTCTCCCGACCCGCTACCTCTTCCTCCACAGCTGTCTCCCGACCCGCTACCTCTTCCTCCACAGCTGTCTCCCGACCCGCTACCTCTTCCTCTACCTCCTCCTCTCACGATCTACCTCCTCCTGTGACGTGGCACTGACCTCCTCTCTCGCAGGAAGCTCTGCTTGGAGCCGTAAAGTGGGGAGCAGGCAAGGCTCCTCTATTTGCTCCCTAGGTTTGAAAGTGACACGTCACAGTCACCACCATCTCATGCGTCGCCATCCTCGCGTCTCCTCTCAAGGCCAAGGTAGAGAGATCTCAAGTCCGTTCCTCTGTCTCTGACCTCCTGCTCCAGCTCCCTGAGGTCCTCACCCGGACCCCTTCTGTCTGCTTCTACATCTCGGGTGCTATTCCTTGACCCTCCCCTCCTCCCCTCCTCCCCTCCTCCCCTCCTCCCCTCCTCCGCCTGCTCCCTCCTTCTTGCTCCTAAACTTATCCTCTTTCTCTGACGGATTGGTTCCTCCTGATTCAGGCCTTTCGACCTGTGGATTCTTCGTGCACGGGTTCGACTTGTTTCTCACCATCTCCTTTTCCCTTCTCCTTCCTCCTCCCTTCTCCTTCTCCGTCCTCTCTCGCTGCCTCCTTGACGCTCTCCGCAGGCACCAGGCAGCGTCGCCCAACGGCAGGAGACATCGGCACCATGTGAGCACTAGGGAGTTCAAACCTTGGGGGTCCCCCTTTCCTCTCTCCGCCTCACTGCCGCATGCCATACCCCACTACCCTCTCCTTCTCAACGTTGCGCTCCTCCCTACATTCACAGACGCGTGTCATCTGTCCTCCATGAGTACCTGACAGGATCTTTCACTCAATGATGAAAATGAAAGAGGACAAGCAAGCTGAAGGACGAAACCGTGACTCTCCAACTGCTCGCTGTTGCCTGTATGTATTTTTTATCCTCCAGCTCAAGTCTCACCTGAAGGCCCTGATTGTCATTAAACGATTTTGTGAGACCAACAACTTGCATTGAGAGCACACAGAAACACGTTGCAATTTGTTTTTTCGTCTGTAATGTTTCTAGTTTTTAACTTTCGATTAGCAATATAATTCTACACCCAAAAAGTTGCACACATCATCCGGACCAGTGAAACTGACCTCACCCCTCCCATCAATCTTGCGTCATTCCTGCAGCACGCTGAGCGAGCCAGATCTTTTTCTCCTCCAGATATCTAAACGAACGCAGTCAGAAGGTCCAAAGGAACATCCACCTCCTCCCCAACCTGTCCTTCGCCGCAGTGGCACGATCCTCATACTCCTTCCGCACGGCTGGATCCATCTCCCTCCACATCTCTCCCAACTTCTTTCCAAGCTCAAGAAACGACAATCCTACGCCCCGATCAGCAACATACTGAGCATGCAAGGTCTGCTTACCTGGGTTTGCAGCTTTGACCTCCTCTCTGACCGTGTTGGAGAACAGGACGAAGGACGTCGCTGGTTTCTTGGGTCCTCCCTGGAGCACCTGCTGCTTGAAACTTTCACTTCATCGAATGGCTTCGCATTCAAGTCGCTAACCTTTTTCCTCCTCCTCCTTCCCTTGGTACCGATCTCGGGCGCCTTACCAATCTTTCCCATCGGCATAGGGTACGCTGCTGGCATCCCGGGGTATCCAGGAGGCCATGTGCCATAGGGCTGCATCTGGCCTTGAGGAGCATACATCTGTTGTGGTCGTCAGCAAGTCCCCCGCATGTTGCACCTGCTCTCACGGCTGGAGGGGGGTACCCTTGCGGCATCCCAGGCTGTTGCGGAGGATACCCTCCTGGGTAATGATACGCTGATGGTGGAAATGCCCACATTCTGTCGCTTGCCTCCTTCAAAACTGAAAGAAATATGAGATCACGATCGATGATGGGAAAGATTGGCAGGAGATTCAAATTTTCATGCCCCTCGATGGCAGGAGATTCAAATTTTCAGCTTAGTTGAATCGTGTACGAAAGTGTATCGCATGCATGGACATTCAATTGGCACTTTATACACTATATGTTTGCACGTCTTGAATTTTCAAGAAATGAAGATGATGGGAGGGAAGTGAAGACGTGTGTGACTGAGTGTTCATCAGAACAGCTTGGTGAAGGTGGTGGGTTACAACGAAGCAAAGGAGAAATGAACAGGATGATAGCATAACACAGACTGTACAAGGAAGCTCAAGCTAAGAATCATAACAAAGGATGCATAGACAAACACAGTCAAGGTAAGCGGAGGGCGAGAAAGGCGACTCGGCAAGACATTGACGATGGAGAGGATTAGGATGAGGACGGCGACTAGGAATCAATGGTACGAGCGAGCAAGGGAGACGCAGCAAGGGGAGGTCGGTTGGGCATGAGGGAGGAGGAGGAGTTTCAAGGACAGAGGCTGGCAAGGACAGAGGAGGGGAGGGTCAGGAGAGACGAGAGCCATACGACTCTGAAGAAGCATGGAGGAGGCGAGGAGGTGAGGTCAAGGCAGTTTGCTCTTGTGGTAGTAAGCTTGGGGGTGGTACAACAACTCAGTACCACCCCTACTGTTATTTACTCAATTTCAATACCAAGCTTATTCCTTTTGTAGTTGGCGGTATAGTAGGCACCCTCCAAGTGCCTAACGGAGGCTATGACCTGAAATGTTTGCGATGTACATAAATAATCATACTCTTGGTATAAACAATTGTGTCTTGTGCCCATATAGGAGCACCATCATTTTCTCCCTTACAAGCAGTACTTTTGAATAGTGCCAAGTTTGATTACATTTCATTAAGATGTTTACTCAAACATCAAAATAGTACAACTTTCATGGGTAGTGGGGTGGGTATCACGGTAGAAAGGCCAGTGCTTTCGAACCAGTAGTGATAAAAGTACCCGTAGCGCTTGGGTACCGGCCTCTCTAAACCGTACGAAACAGATAGGAACTTAAAACTATTTATGATCAGTAAAATATTTATTGCATGGTATTGTCTGGTACCGGCGATCGAAGCCAACATTTTATATTAAAACTGCCTTTTACAACAATAACTTTGTTGTATGGCAAGCTACGACTCCCTGGTACAAATTTCCTGACTAGGGATAAAATATATTTCATGGTACCAATTTTGTATTGATATATATATTTAAGGTGTTATTTTTGTTACAGTCCATCACAGATATTAACGGTACAGTCCATTGTAAAAAAACCAATATCTTTACTACCTCCCTCTCTGAAGGTTGTATCAGTTTATATAGATATAGATAATCCGGCTGTCGGAGTATATATCCTTTTAAAGAGGCTATTTTTGGTACAGTCGTTTGTGGATTTCAAAGTCGTACAGATGTCCAAAAGTCATTTTAATTGTACGCGTCTGAACGACGGTACCATACATTCACAATCTATGGGTTGATATAACATCTTCAATGATTATTTAAAAATTGGTAAAATAATTTCGGGTGATTGCTCCCAAATATTACCACCCCCAGAACGAAAATTTTCATACGTGGATATAACTTCATTTAAATCTGCCTGTACAAAAGAAGCACCTTTACGAGATTTGTAGTAGAATTAATCTTGACTGATTTTGTTTAGAGTACACAACGTCCCCTCAGTACCTTGCTCGGTGTAGCACGGCAATTGTAAAGATCCGAGCTGTATGGATATTACTACCATTATTATTTGTGGTATCGCCTTCCATCAGATTAAAATAACATTTTACATATAGTCATCTTTTTTTCTGTAAAATTTATATATGTATTTGCAGCAAGTCACTATTTATCAAATTGTACCGAATATGTTTGAATGTTTAATTCATATTTGTACCAGAGCTGCAACAACAGGTACAGAGTTACTTCATTTTTGGCCCTGAAAAAAACAAGGTCTCTGACCGTCAGTTTTAAAAGGCTGCTGGAAATATTAAAAGTATTTGTACAAGATGGTCCCCATTCAGTACCGTCCGCGGTGGAAACGGTACAACCCTGTGCTCCTTTTAAAAAACGTTTTAAGACGGGGCATCATCTCTTAAAATTCAGTTATAAATCCCTGTACACGTGATAGTTCGGCGCTTTGTAGGAAAATCGGCAAACAAGAAATCCGGCGAAACTTATTTAAAATAATTTCACCTGGTCCGATCATGGCGGGCCGCAGGCTCTCAGTAGTGCGGACTGACTCGCCCGGACCGTCGGACGGTGACCACCTGGCCCGGCGTTCGGTACACGGTAGTACCGACGGTACTGAGGTCGGACACGGGTATTCTGCGGCCCGCCCGCCGCCGGGGCCCGGCGGGGGCCCGGACTGACTCCGAGGCTCCGACGGAGTCGCCACCCAAGTTAAAGCCCACTGTGACGAGCCATCGGTGGCAGTGAGCAAGCCTTTTACTAAGTTACTCAAAGTTAAGTTAAAGATCAGTACGAGGACAATCAGGAGAGTCGAGGAGCCTCTAACCCATCAGTGTCAGAGACCGGCCCGGCGGGACTCCAGCGATTTACTGAGAATGAGTTGCGAGTTCTGAATGTCGACGGTCACTGACTGCTCCTTTTCCTCCTGCGGGGCCGCGTTGCTGCTGCTGGAGCTAGCCTTGCCTTCCTCTCCTTCATCGCAGTGACATTGTGATTCGCTTCCTTTCCTCTCCTGCGAGTCTTCTGCCCCCTTGTCCTCTTCCTCTTCCTCTCTGCTTCCTGCGGCTTCACTGTTGTGTTGCCCGACCCTCCAGGGGTCGCGCTAGACTCATTGAGGTGCATGCAAGGCAAGGTGTGGTGCTTGCACAGGTGACCGTGCCTGCTGTCGTCTACCTCGAGGAGGGAGTGCGTCTTCTGTGCCCTGCTGTTGCAGCCTTCAGGATGTGAGCACCTCTTGTTCACGATGTCGCGAAAGTCTGCGAGCTTGTGGTCGGAGCAGCTGCGGCGCTTCCCGTCCTGACCGAAGACAGGCTTCTTGGGGCATCGGAAGCAGGTGGGCTTCACGAGGTCGATGAGGTCGCAGGGGCAGAGGGCGAGCAGCTCGCTGCTGTTCTGTGATGCAAGAGTGAGAAGAGGAGCAGGTGAGCCTGTACAGCAGGACCTTGTGTTGAGAGCAGGCGACGAAGACTCTCCTGCTTCTCCTGTCGAGCTCCTCGCTCAAGTACCCGAACCTCGCTCGTCGCAAGCACCCCGGAGCAGCACAGGCCCGTCGCTGGTTCCTAGAGGGTCAGAGGAGCTGGAAGTGAAGCAAGTCTGAGAGTACTTTGAGTTCGACGTGGTCTCTCGCTCTGTGCTCTGCGCAGTACCTCGGAGCCTGGCAAGGGTGAAAAGTGAGGGAGCAGGCGGAGTGGAGGGGGGGGGGGGGGGGGAGATGGTGGTTGAACTGTGAGAGGAGAGGAGGGTGGGAAGATGAATAGGGTAGAGTCTATGAAGCGAGGAAGGAGAACAGAAGGAATCCTGAGAGGCAGGGAACGATTGTGAGAGGGAAATGAATTCAAACTCGGGTGTAATGCAAGGAAGAGAGGAGACGGCATGAGCAGGAGTTTGGGGCAGTCGGGACGGGATGTGGAGGAGGAGGAGGAGGAGGAAGAGAAGGAGGAGGAGGAGGAGGAGGAGGAGGAGGAGGTGGTGGTGGTGGTGGTGAAGCAGGTAGGACTATAGTTGGTCTTACCGGACCCTCCTTGGGGTCACCGTACATGCACCTCTTGGAGCAACCAGGATGTCTACACTTGATGCTGATAAGATCTACTTCATCCTTTTGCCTTCAACTAACAGTATTAGTCCTTCGCTCTTCCATCACCATCACCATCACCATCACCATCACCATCATCATCATCATCATCATCATCATCGCCATCATCATCGTCAGTGTCATCGCCATATCATCTTCATCATCACAATCGGCATTCTGTGCAATCCATTTCGCCATCACAACATTGTCAATGCGCATCTGCAATAGCAACCACCTGTGCATTTTACAGTGTGATACGTGTTTGCTTTTCCCTCCAGGCAAGCCGTAACTTGCAAAGCTTGTACAGAACAAACATCTGCGGCAGAGTGAATCTACTTCCCTAAATCTCCTCTCCTCTCCTCTCCTCTCCTCTCCTCTCCTCTCCTCTCCTCTCCTCTCCTCTCCTCTCCTCTCCTCTCCTCTCCTCTCCTCTCCTCTCCTCTCCTCTCCTCTCCTCTCCTGCTGCCCTCCTTCAGCTTTCTTGCCTTCTTCCGGTTCGCATAATCTCCATGCTGCCCTCCTCCGTGGGGGAAGAGACTTTTGAGTTTCCCTTGCTTGATGCAGGCAGAGTCATGTTGAGGAGAAGAGCTGCGGTACCACGTTCACGGCTGGCAACGAAGGTGAGCAGTGGGCCAGACCGATGGGATGGAAGACTAGCAGCAGGGGAAGAGAATCCAAGACTAGCAGCACAGAGCTCCAGCCATGCCTGCGTCCAACCTTGAGGACCGTCCTCCTCGCAGGAGAGCAGCACAACGATCCACCTGCTCGCATCCTTCGTCGCGCTCCGCTCACTTCCCCTTGTCAATCTCCTTGTGTTATGCAGCTGCACTGTCAAGTCACGACCAGCGCCAGCACAACTGACAGCTACACCGAGGACCCGCAGCTCTTGCACAAGAACAACAGCCATGGTGAATGAGACCTGTTGCAATTTCTGTCACGCTCTCAAGCTTCCCGCCCCCTCCCAGCCCGCCTCCCCACTCCACCTGCTCTCGGCGATGCCGTAGGTAACTTTGCCGCTATGGCAGCAGAAGCATTTTCTCAGAGCCAAGTCAGGCTCCTCCCCCCCCCTTGATACTCTCGACCCGTTCGATCTCTCCAGCAGGGAGCGATTCGACTGTACAGCAGTCTGATTGCGACGATGCTCGCTCCTCCTAGCGAAAAAGTCTACAAGGGCGTCGGGGACGGCCGTTCCTCCTGACTGCAATATGGACAGGAGCTGCAGAGAAGTTTCATGCTCCTCCACCTTGTGATGACCTCCAGCTTCATCGTACATCATCCTCTGCTCCTCAGGCCTCTCCACCATCGCGGCACCTCCACGAAGCCTGTGGCACGGGAAAAGACTGTGCATACAATGAAACAGCAGCAGAGCTCCGGAGACGTCAACGATCCTCCTCCTGCTCCTCGCGCTCTCCTCCTCCTCCTCATGCCCAGCCACATCAATAGATTCGAACGGACTTCTCAAGGAGTCACCACGGTCACCGTGCTGGGGATACTCTGCCGAGGACACATGCATTCCTGCGATAGCCTTTCTCTCTCGCCCGTCTTCGCATCGCCTTCCTCCTCTCCTGCACGCGTCCGCCTGCCCCTTCCTCACGAACTCTCCACTGAACCTGAGCAGTGCGATCCAGATGCACGCGATCAGCTCTGCCCTCATGCGGGGGCAGAGGATGACAGGTAGAAAGCAGGAATGATGAGAGCGGATGGGAGGATATCAGCGTACTTGCTCAATCCGCATCATGTTCATCCCAACCTTCCTGTCACCATGCATTGCCCTTGTCCCTCCTCCTCCTGCTCTCCTCCTCAGCGGCTCCCTTCCCGACCCCCCAACCTTGCAGTTCAGCCCAAGTTCGCCTCAGCCAGCCCGGCGGTTTCTCCCTCCCCCGGGCCCGGCCCGGACTCCGGGACTCAGGCCGGGACTCAGTCGATCGGATCGCCGGGACCGTACAGTCCGATCGAGTCAGCCGGCCCGGCCGCCTGCAGGACCGGGGGCCGGGGCTTGCGCCGGCATAACTGAACTCTGCCGATGCGAAATTCCTGGGTGGGGCCCGGGATACTCAGCGGCAGTCGCTTCAAAAGGGTTCAAGAACCGTTTCAAGTTGCCGATGATGTGGCCGCGGTTCAACGAGTCGGAAGTTTACTAGGCCGCCGTAAGTTGACTCGGCGGCCGCAGTGAGATGCTTATCAATCAACCAACTGGCACCTTGAGTATCTAAATTGATAGTCCGCTCCGATTATTATAATCAATACAACTCTACCAAACATTTACTGACTCATGATTTACGGTCGGACCTTCTGTATTTACTATTCAAGTCCGACCGTCAGTAATGATTAACTTGTGAAACAACTGCGGGCATCCGTGACTGGGCCCGGCGCGGCCGCGGCGGCGGGCGGCGCGCCGACCCGGCCGGGACTCCGAGGTCCGTCTGTCACTGCCAGAGCTTCGGAAGCCTAGTAAGTTTAAGTTAAGGCCAAACCGCCGGCGCAACGCCGTCAATGTGACCGTTCAGCCTAAGTCAAGTTGCTCCGACGAGCCTCGATCATTTGAACCGTGATCACTATTCGGTCTTTCTTCGTACTTGTCGTTCAGTGTCCGGGTTATCCAACTCCATGCTCTCAGCCTCGTTCCCTTCCTCCTCCGCCACCATCACCGCCTCCTCCTCCATCACCCGCGACCGAAACTCCACAGGCCCGGAGGGGCGGAGCGACTCGAGAAGATCTTCCTGCAACTGCATCTCCACCATGATCCCAGCTGGCGCTCGATCCCTGATCCGAGCGAGGACCTCGCGCAGGCTCTTCCCTTCAGCGAAGATCCCTTCCTGCTGGTCCATGAGCATCGAGTGCATGTAAGACCCCTCCGGCGCCGCCTCGCCTCCACCGCTCCTCCTGCAAACGCACATGCTCCACTCAGCAGGCAGGTTGAGCTCCTTCCCCAGCCGACCCTGGTTGGGAACCACCGTCCTGCATCCATCCACGAGGAGGAGGACGCGCGGCCGTTCCGACTGGAAGCTCTCTCTCCAGATGCTGACCAGGTGCTTGAGCGTCAGTACGCAGTAGAGCTCCTCCTCCATGGGCTCCAGATCCGACGCGTCGAAGTTCGTTGGGAGGAGGCAGAGCTCTCCCTCCTTGACCTCTCTCAGAACATGCCCGGAGTAGTACAGGAGGATCAAGGGCGGCGGCAGCTTCGAGATGCCGACGAAGTGAGTTCGGAGGAAGCGGATAAGGTTGAGCTCCGACGGGTCTCGGCATTCCGCCCCTCGGCACCGCGGTGTCTTTGCAAGCGCCTCGCACAAGGCTCTCGAGTCCTCCACGCTGCTCAGCTGAGGAAGAGAGTCGTACTTCCCGACTCCGACGCAGAGCCCGACGACCATGGGCTTCTCGAGCAGCACCACGTCACATTCATTTTCCTTCTCCTGCGAGTCTCCGGTGAAGGCGCTTCTCATCCGCCGACGAGTCTCTTGTTTACTGCGAGGCAAAGCAAAGTCAGCGACCCGGCAACACCACAAGCTCACAGCCATCCCGAGTCCCTTGCCTCCCCCCGCGATTCATCTTCTTCTTCTTCTCCGATCTTCTCCTATCCTTGTGTTCCGGCAAGACATTTCTAACTTCCTCATTCCTGCCCCCTTCCCCCCGCCGGGCCGACTTCACTCACCCGTATGTCTCGTAGTAGTAGTCCTTCGCATCCTGCGCACCAGAAGCGAACTTTAAAACATCTAGCACCTCTTTATATCTGTCAGGATATGACGTGTCGAAATTTGGCAGTTTGCCAGGTCTGTCATGCCAGCGCCACTCTATGTCCCCGGTCTGCCCTTCCCTCAGATGCTTCCTCCAGTTATCGCGAAGGTACTGGGAAATGGGAAGCACTTCATGCTTGTGGAACTCAGCTTCCTCGAAGAGTTCGTCTTCCCGGAGCCTCATGCAGCGGCGGAGGTTGACTGCACTGACTCTCTTGGCTCGGGCGTTGATGGAACCTCTGTCGTTCCATCGCTCCAGAGAATGAACGTGCAGACTGAAGCGCTCCAGAGTGTTGTCACCTACCTTGAACACAAACATGCGCTCAAGCAGCGACTCAGATGGAGGAAGGTTGAGGCTCTCCTTCCGCAATCCGTAGTCCTTGTAGGGAAAGTCGATGACGCAAGTGAGGGTGAGGTGTCCGTTCCTAAAGCTCGAGATGAACCCTTTCCAGAGATCCTTGGGCTTGGAAACTCTTTTCACATTTGAGGTAAACTCAGCGTCATCCTCTTGGTTATCTCTGATGGCCATATTCCGCATGGCTTCCACATAGTCTGCCTCCTGCAGTTTCCGTGCCATGAATCAGTCACTTCGACCTCCAGCAGCCGAGAATTCACCCACCTGGTTCGCCACACCCAGCTTGTCCTTGTAAGAAACCATCCTACTTGTACGCTGCCGTCCTGCAAGAACGTCACGGGGCGTCACGGGGTGCTGAAGCGTCGATGGGATCTATCTGCTCCACTGGTCTAACTAACATCCTGCAGACCTCATGGAGCTCTCTTCTTTGCTTCCTAGCTGGGTTCCCAACCTTTACCCTAGCCTGTTCGCCATCGGCAACCTTTGCGAGATGATGTCTGAGTGACAGACAGAAATCTTCCCATCTCTCCTGTCTTGGCAATATTTCTTAGTCGGTTCCAAATCAGAAAAATCTCGACATGCTTTCCCTACTCCTCCCAGCCACCAGAGTCTTGGGCGGCAGGGGATATCCGCAAAAGCGATTTCGACCCAGCAACTCAATGGCTGCCTTGCACGCCTGGTATCATTCTCACTTGCTCCTACTGCTCCATCAACTGATCATCAGTTGCTGTCCTGTATCTCATGTTCCTCCCTCCCTTCCTCTACCCGCTCCCTCCTCCTCGCTACCTAGCCCTTCCCTGCTCCCCTTCATATTTGCTTCTGCCAGCTAGGAACGAACCACCTTTTTACTTATCACTCTTCTCTCACTAAGTTTAGTACCAAATCACCTTATTACTAAATTTACTCAATGGTATCTGTTAGGTGAAGTTTGAGTAAATTTTACTGTTGAAATGTTTCAGTCTGGGGCCGGGCCGGCAGGTTCGGGGCCGATCCACCACCGGCCCGGCGGGCCGGGCACCGTCACTGAGAAGTCCGAGCAGCACCCGGCCGTAAAGCTACTACTGTATTTACGAGCAGCGGATGAACGACTTTTACCACTGCCGGCCGCTGAAAACCAATCAGACTCGCATTGGCTGAAGAGATGCTCTTTCGCGTCGTGAGGGTTGTATGACAGGGATACGTATCTCGAGATCAGCTCTAAAAGTCATTCTAAAAAACGGAGAAGATACTCTTTCAACACTATCCCGGGGGGATTCGATGAAGGTCAATTATAACAATCGTACATCTCCCGGCCTTATGACTATCTCCCTCCTTCGGGAGGACCCTCCGAACCTCTTCATTTCGATCCCTCCCCCTGGCCTCCCTGTAAGACTCCTCCCCAGACCTCTACTCCCTGTTGGCTATATAAGCCAAGGCTCCTCCTTCTCCCTTCCCATCACTCCTAGAAAAAGCTTCTCCTGCCTGCCATCCCTCCTCCCCCATCCCTTCTCTGCTCCATCTCCTGCCCCTGCTCTCGTGCTACTGTCCGTCCTGGAACATAGCTCCCTCAGCTCCCCCTCGTCCTGACTGCTGCCTATCCCCTCCCCCTCTCCCCCCACTGCCACTCTCCTCCTCTCCAGCCCCCCACCCATCCCCTCACCGTCTCCATCACGCGGGAGGTGCTCACCTCTCGCAACGCTCTTGCACACGTTGGATGCGGAGCTGCCAGGCCTGCGCGAGGGCAGCTGAAGATGGTACACTGGAGCGAGGGGCGGGAGGCGCTGGGGAACATCCTGTCAGCGAGGAGGAAGTGTAGGCTGAGGGCGAGCGAGGAGGCTTGTTCATCCGCATATTGCAAGCAGGCTCACTCAACTGAGGCATGCAACGTACGGTGGTCCATCAAATCGTCATCATCCTCTCGAAAGCGCTTTGCCTTCTCACTCTCTGCTCTCTCTGCTCCTGTCCGTACTGCTCCTGCTCCTGCTCCTCCTCCAGCGCTCCTCCTCCTTCTCCTCCTCCTGCCACTGAGCTCACCCTGATCATGACTGCTGCCTATCCCCTCTCCGTCTCCTCCTACTGCCACTGCCTCCTCCCAAGCCCCCCCCCCTCCAGTCTTCCGCCCGTCCCCTCACCATCGCCATCACCCGGGAGGTGCTTACCTCTCGCAACGCTCCTGCATGTCAGCGAGGAGGAAGAGCGAGGAGGGGAGAGGGCTGGAGTGTAGGCTGAGGGCGATCGAGGAGGGGAGGACGATTATGTAGCCGAATTTAGGATGGTACAAGAATAAAGTGCATGTACATGAGTCACTGAGTGTTGCAATGGACCTGTGCTATGATCTGATGCAATGGTGGTAGCAATGGAGTGACAGACTGGGATAGTATTGTATGATCGTGCACGGGCTTGTGTGATCGTATCCGTCGAAGTTGAATCCTCCTCCTGCCTCTGGGTTCACTCCTAATCGGCCTCCTATGTGTTGCGCCTCTACCATTCATCATCTTCTTTTCCGGTCACGGTGCGCTGTCCTCGATCTTTACTATGATGACAAATGTAGTTCGATATGATGATGCCAAAGGGAGTACTTTCGTGAGTGAGAGTTCGAGAAAACCCGACTTCTCGTCTCCAATCCGTCTTTTGCTGATCACGCGGCTGAGGCGGACCAGCACTGCTTCACCTTGTCATTGTTCCGAATGTCGGTTAAACGTCCGTTGTGAATATCAGGATATCCCTTGCAGGGATACGATCTCGAGATTCCGAGGCGATCTCGGCGAAAAGAGCTCTTTCTACCCGTCGCAAATCTCCCGGCCTTTTGACTATCTCCCTCCTTCGGGAGGACCCTCCGAACCTCTTCATTTCGATCCCTCCCCCTGGCCTCCCTGTAAGACTCCTCCCCAGACTTCTACTCCCTGTTGCCTATATAAGCCAAGGCTCCTCCTTCTCCCTTCCCATCACTCCTCAATCCTTCCTCATCGTCATCATCCTCTCGAAAGCGCCTTACCTTATCACACTCTAGTATCTGCTCCATCTCCTTTTCCTGCTCTTTTCCGTACCACCTCCTCGTCTTCCACTCATCGTCATGACTGCTGCCTACCTCCTCCCCCTCTCCCCCACCGTCACTCTCCTTCCAAGCCCCCTCTCCAGCCCTCCGCCCGTCCCCTCACCATCGCCATCACCCGGGAGGTGCTCACCTCTCGCAACGCTCTTGCACACGTTGGATGCGGCGCTGCCAGGCCTGCGCGAGGGCAGCTGAAGATGGTACAGAGCGAGGGGCGGGAGGCGCTGGGGAACATCCTGTCAGCGAGGAGGAAGAGCGAGGAGGGGAGAGGGCTGGAGTGTAGGCTGAGGGCGAGCGAGGAGGCTGGGGTGGGAGGGAAGGAGGGAGATGCATGATCCAGTACTGATGTGATCGGATGTAGGATAATGAAAATAAAGTCCGTGCGTACCTTTGGAGTTGAATGATTATGAGTGCTTAAAAGTTGCAACTGACCGTGAGGAATAAGTGCCATATCACCGTGACCTGACCGCAGTACAACTGCTCGTGCACGGAACCTAATCAGGCTTCATAGTAGAAGGCTATGACGGAACCATCACTTGAAACGTCACTGTAAGGAACTTGTGGTCGCTAGTTGACTGATGATGTCGGAGTGCAATGTTCAAGTACTTGTTAAGTCTCATGGAGTTCGTCTTCAACGGACGGCGGCGGTGGATCAGTGCCACGGCCCGCCCAGTGCGGCCGCCCGGCGGTACGGTCGGTCCGGGGGTGACGGTACGGTCTCCGGGCCCGCCATGATGGACGGACAGTGTCTAAATTTGAAAGTGACTTGATAACGAAAGTTGAACTGCCAAGCTGATGAGGCGATTCAACCGGACGATTTCAACCAAGCCCGGTGGCATGATGCCGCCGCCACTGGGCCGTGAGTCCTGAGTGACTGAGCTTGCCGAATAATCCCTCGGCCCAGACTCTGACTCAGCCTGGCAGTGAGTCGGGTCACCGGGCGTGGATGGCACTAGGCCCCCTCTCACTGTCCGATCAGTTGATCGGCACGGCGGCGCGGCGGGGCGGCCGTGAGCCATTATTCAAATAAGTTCAAAGTCGCCCGGCGGTCGGGCCACGGGCCGGGCCAGCGCCGGTGCGGCGCCCGGCCGGCCCGGTGCCAACCTGCCGCTCAGTCACGACCGGGTGGGCAGTGCCCACCGTGACTGAGCGGCCACCACGAGCCGCTGAGCCGGGCCCGGAGCCTGACGGTCTGCCGGGCGGCCCGGAGTCCCGGAGTCCTGCGGGGGATGGCCCGACCCCTTCCTGACGTGTTCACCCGGAATGAGAGAGAAAGTGCGAGACGCGAAGTTAGAAGGAGGGAGGGAGGGAGGGAGGGAGGGAGGGAGGAAGAGGGAGACAGGGAGACAGGGAGACATGGAGGGAGAGGGAGGGAGGGAGGGAGGGAGAGGGAGGAGGGAGAGGAGGAGGGGGA